GGGTGGATGCGGAAGGCCCAGCGCGGCTGCGGCCGGAGCCCCTGGCCGCGGACGGCCCACGGCCAAGTCCAGGACCAAATCCAAACGAGGCTCCCTAGCAGAGGACGCCTAGCTGCAAATCCAAACGCATCCTTCAACGCAGCTGGTGCGTAACACCCGGGAAAGAGACCCCCGCACCCAAGAAAACAAGCCCGCGCTGAAAATCTGGGGAGAAGCCTCGGGCAGCTGCGAAGCGGGCGTCCGCCACTCCCGACCTACCATGGTGCGAGCGGAGGGAGGAAGGGCGGAGGGAGCAGGGGCTGTGACGGCGGGGGTGCCTCCGCGGCTGCCGCTGCTGCTGCCAAGGCGCGGGGTGCGCTGAGCGCTGTGCCGCCGCCGCCGCCTGCGCCGCCCGACCGCGAGTAACGGCGCCGCCTCCACGAGCCTCCCAGCACCACTGCTGGAACGCGAGCCTGCGCCCCGCGATTTATATACGGCACGCCGTATCCCTCCGCCGCGGCGGGGCCGCCTCTCGCCGAGCGGCCCTGCGGCGGCCGGGCCTCGCCCGCTCGGCCCCGCCCCCCGGCAGCCCGGGCCTCGCCCGCCTGGCCCCGCCCCCCGGCCGCCCGGGCACCCGCCGCGGCAGGCCTTGCGGGAAGCGACGAGCTCCGGGCGGGGGTCGCGGAGGGGCGCGCGGCCTCGGGGTAGGGGCGTCCCTGGAGAAGCCCCTCCTGGGCCCGGCGGGGACACGGCGGCTTCCTGGCCCGACCCCGGCCTCAGTCCCGCCTGTGGACCCCCGGCCGCCCCTCCGGGGCTGGGCGCCCGCGGCCACTTCCCGCTCGGGAGCTGCGGGAGAGCCTGGGCTGGGCGCACACCTTGAGCTGCCGGGGAGAGGGGTCTGCAGAGGCCGAGGCGGTCAGCCTCGTGGGAGCCACTGGGCGGATGTTCTGCTTCTCAGATTTTGGAGCAATATCAGAGATAAAGTCTATATGCCCAGTTGCTAGATCTGTGTCCTGCGCCTGTGCTTAAACGCTCTTACTTTAATGTTTGTACATTTCCACTGGATACGTTTCAGGATGCCAGGATATTTCTCCCCTACTGTTTTGTTCCCTTTTTCCTATGGAAAGTACTATTCATCCTGGCACATACTAAAATGAATGTACCTGTGCAGTTTCTGAAACCCTTAAAACCCATGTTTTAAATGTTTTGTAATGTCCTGGTCCTGAAAGGGGTCCTGGTGCTAAATCCATAGAAACGAAGGAGGAAATAGGCGCTTGGAATCCCCAGAGTACAGGGGAACACACAGCCCGCTGCCTCTGCAGAGGAGAAAGATGGTATTTTAACCTGTAAGCTTGATTATATTCTTGTTAAAAGAATATCTAATCCATGTTTCTGTAAACTAGAAAAAGAACAACTTGAGCCATTCATTTGAAGTCCGGGTCTTGTAAAACGTCTTGACAAAATGCTGCAGTTTCTTTCTGTGCCAAGACAGAACACAGAATTTGATCTTTGTTTATGGGCCAGGGCACCAGTTGCAAGGACTCATTTGCTTACTCTTTCAGAGAATGTGGCAAAGTGTGATTAGCTAGAGAGGGCTTTGCCTAGTTGTGTCTGCTTCTGGCTTCGCCAATGTCTGCAGAACGATGCCTTAAATGAGTGAAAGGTGTCCAGCCACAATGCCAAGGCTACAGGACTTCTTGGGATAACCTTGGACAGGATGTCAGCATCTGTGGAGCTGTTTCTGTTACTGGTGTCCCTTCTGGAATGCCGCAGAAGGGGTGAACCTGCTGTTTCACTTAAAGAGAGGCTGTAGCAGCAAGCCAGGGAATGGTGCTGCCTTCCACCTGCAGAGTACTCACATTGCAAATCTAACCCCCTACCAAAATAATAATATTCTTGTGCTCATATGGGAAACCTGAATAGGAATAAAGTACACATATTACTGGGAGAGTTGGAAATACAGAAATAGAAGAAAAGGGACGAAGGCAAAGTCACTTTAAAGAACATTCAAGAATTCAGTGAGTTGCGAGTCTAAATGGCCAAACTCATTATTAAGACAGCTTTTTTCCTAAGGGAACAGGTATTCAAGTGTCAGGCCTTCCACAGAGTAGTTAGTGAAATACACTTCAAAACGTGGTGTGTACTGTATAAGTAGGGAAATAATAGCTTGGAAGTGATATGCATTTAATTATTAAGGATCTGCTAGTTTGTACTAATCTTCAATTCCTTATAATTATTTTAAGTTGCTAAATCTACGGTTTTGAAAGCCAGGCAGTTTCTAAAATATTTTTTCCTCTGACATTTATTCGCTCAAATAAAATACTCTGAAACTTTTTCATGACTTTACTTGCTAAAAAATATACATTTCAGAATTATTTTACTTATGATAGTAAAATTTTTCTGGTTTCTCACAGTTTACATATTAGAGTTGTAACTCTTTAATGTGTTGAAGCACATCTGAGCGTTCAAGTCTATGGGGTTTCTAACGAGGTCATGCTTTTCACAGGTTGACACACTGAAATATAAGAAGGTCAAGTGACTTGCCCAAGATCTTACTGTGAGTCAGGGCTGAGGCATAAAATAGAGCTTCCCCTTGCCCAGGGGCTCTAAGATTAGATTATATACTAGTGAAATCAGTATCTGAGCATTTTAAAGACACGGTGTTAAGGATGTGTCTGTTTTGTAAAGCAGATTCTTCCGACTGCTTTCTTAGATGGTCACGGGCTTTCAGTAGCACACAGGCTGCTTTAAGTGAATAAACTTCCTAATTCACAGGAAGATCAGCAGTCAGGAAGGATAAGCGACATTATTGTGATCTCGGAACTTACCAAGAACCAAAAAATCAGTGGAACGTTTCATATTTAGAGGAAATGGTTTGCTTTTAAGTTATATAAGTAAAATAAAGGTAAGTGGGAGAAAAGTAGAAAGAATGCAGCCCCAAGCCAGGAATCTTTGAATGTCATTTCTGAAGCAGCTCACTCCAACCCTCTGAATCTGACAGAACACAGATGTAATTATCACACATCCATGGATAAAGCCAGATGTCTGAACCTGATCTGTGAGTCCTTCCAGCTGTGAAACCCTGTGTCTGTGATTATGATATATATACGTGATTATAAAATATATATGCATGAGGTACATGTAGCATACATATGTGTCATATATGTGTACACACACAAATATACATATATCGCAGGTGAGGGCAGATGGAGAAATTAAAAATAACATTCCTGAGCATTGACTATGGCCAGGCCATGCGTTAAATGTACTATCTCCTCCTCCTACCGTTTTGTGAAGCAGGCATCCTTGTTATTCTTAGGAAAAAACTGAGGCACTGAACAATTCTGTGACTTACCTAATTTAAGTGGCAGACCTGGAAATCTAACTAAGGGCCCAAGCGCTTAAATGTTGGTTTATAAAGAGATGCTTCTTACCCAAGGATAAAATTGAAATAAGATCATAGAAATGGAGTGGTGGCTGTATCTACCACACAAGAAGCAGCGTTGGAGAAAGAAAAGCCAAAGCCAAACATTGATTTTGTGATGCTTTCTAGCTGGGAGACAATTCTTATTTTGCCTCTGAGTCCTTGAAAGACTTGTTCACTGTCAAACATCCAGTTGTATTTGTGAAACAGAGAGAGAGAGAGACAGAGAGAAAGGGAGAGACAGGGGGAGAGAGAGGTAATGAGAAAACAGAGAGAGAGTGGGTCAGTTGGCTTGACGGTGAGTCAGCTACAGCCAGGTGTGTCTTCATGGGTAGATTATAAACTGGAGAATTTTTCTCAAGAAATCTGTAATCCCAAACTGGCATCTGGCTCCTGTCCATCCACTGCCCCCTCCATCCCGGGGCCCCACAGAATCTGATGTTTGAGGTTCTCTCCCTCACTAACCATCTCTAACCACCAGAACAGCACCTTGCTGTTTGGACAGCTATTTACATTTAATTCGATTTTATACAGGATCATCATAAAAGCTTTATCATCCCTATCAATAAACAAAAGACCCCATTATTTTTCCATTGTAAATGCTGCTATTATCCTTTTTGTATTTTTTATGAGTGACTATTTATTTAAATATATTTAAATATAGAGAGGGGAGGGGGGGTTGGTCTTACTATGTTGCCCAGGCTGCTCTCGAACTGGCCTCAAGCAATCCTCCGGCCTCAGCCTCCCAAAGTGCTGGGATTATAGGCGTGAGCCACTACGCACCCAGCTCTATGAATGACTCTTACAGTAAGGCTTTCTTACATCACGTTTAAATTTGAAACTATGCTACCATCAGAGCATAATAGGCAAGTGTTAGGCCATGGCACTTGCCAGAGAAAAATATCTACCTTAGCATATAGGATATCTGTTTAGTGTCCAATAACTTTAAGTGACTTGAAGCCAGGCAAACTGTCCTGCCATGTGTCCCAGCCCTCGCTAGTCACCAGGCTATCCAGCTAGTGGTCTGAACTGCAGTGTTTCTAGCCAGCTCCACTCACTGCTCACTGAGGGCCTTGTCCTTGTTGCTGTGGGGTGTTTTCCTTCGTGGAGCAGAGGACACTTCTTGACTCTGTCTGCAGGGCCAGTAGCTGTGGTGATGGATTTGCCCTTATCTGGTCCCTCTCTAGCCAGGCCACTCTTGTGACCAAGGTCATGAGTATGCAGCACAGCAAGCAGGGTCGGGGCAGAGAATGAGAACACAGTAAATGATCAGCCCCTAGTGAGACTCCACCCACAAGCTTAAGTGCTTGAACCGACGGAGCCCTTAAGTCCAAGGCAGCTGATGGTTCCATGGCCTAGGGACCGAGTCCTGGATGCGAATTCACATGGTAAAATTGCCCAGTAGAGTAAAAACATGGTGTTGTGCTTTAGTTTTCTACACTGACTTCAAGCTTCATGTATTTTTTAAAAATGCAACTACTGAGCAATGTATGTACGTCATATTATTTCAGAAATTTTTTGTTTGTTTAATTTGAGAGGAGGGAGTCTCACTGTGTTGCTCAGGCTGGTCTTGAATTTCTGCCCTCAAATGATCCTCCTGCTTCAGCCTTCCAAAGTGCTAGGATTACAGGTATGAGCCACCATGCTCGGCCTGGAAATTCTTTTCTTTATTTATTTTTTTGAGTTGGAATCTCACTCTGTCACCCAGACTGGAGTGCAGTGGCCGCTCCCAGCCACCACAGCCTCGACCTGCTGGGCTCCGGTGATCCTTCCGCCTCAGCCTTCCAAGTAGCTGGAACTACAGGTGCGTGCTACCACGCCCCGCTCATTTTGATCGATTATAGAGATGAGGTCTCGCCAAGTTGCCCAGGTGGGTCTCGAACCTGCAGGCTTAGGCAATCCACTCACCTCAGCCTCCCAAAGGTACGGGATTACAGGCTGAGCCACCGAGCCCGGCTTATTTTATTTTATTTTATTTTTGAGTTGGAGTCTCACTCTGTCACCCAGACTGGAGTGCAGTGCACACTCCCGCCACCGCAGCCTTGACCAGCTGGGCTCTGGCGA